ATTTAAACCAATCAGATTTCGAGAAATGCATCTGAATATTCTAGAATTGATCTGCAAAATCGAATAGCTCCTGACTGTATTATGTAATAAACTGTTTGTGGGGCTAATAGTGGTAATCAGGGGGTGCTTATTCACGATGGGTGCTTATTCACGGTAGTATACGGTAATTGAGAAAGTCACAACATATGGTAGCCTCTATACCATTTCAAAACGACTTTATCAGCACAATCGCGAAAATGGTTTCCAAAATAGTTGCAGTCATCTTCAAGATGAAATCCAGTTCAGAGTGATCTTGCTCCAAAGAACAGAAAATCTCGGGATTGTACTTGAAGATATTGAGACTTTTAAAAAGGAAATATTAATTCGTTTGAAATTTATATTTGTAAACATAAAGAATAAATACTTAGATGCCGACATGTGAGTATAGATATCAATTATCTCTTCATGAATCTCTTCATTCTCATGGTCATACTTGAGGTTTTTGCATTCAATAAGTGCAGCAAGGACGCCTTCGCATTCAGCTGCCTAAATTATTTGTAAATAAATAAATATATATATGAGTGTATGTGTGCGAAATGTTTTGTATTGAAGTAAATGGTGTTCAAATTTACCTGTTCAATCTTTTCAGCAATCTCGATCGACCGTTTATCAAATTGAAAATTAAAAGATTCCGATTGTTTTATCATTTTTTTCATGTTTCGTATAATGTCAGTTGCTTCACCGCTCTCCCGTATCCAAGCCATGCATGATGTATTGCTTTCGTCAGCAAAATTAAGAATGGACGATCGTGCTAAGCTATAACACAAAAAGATAACCGGTGAATATACAGCAAAATAAAAATGAGAAATTTAAAACGTTACCTCATCGCCGCTTTCGTAGTTTTCGGTAGATTCTCCCAATCTTTCAGCAGTTCGAGGCATTTTTTTTTTAAATCGATTTTATAGTGGCCACGTCGTCGTCAACAGGGGTACTTTCAACAGAAAAAAACTCGATTTCGGGAGGCTGAAGATCATCTTTTTGTTTTCTTCGAGTGTCTCATTACTCTTATCGTCAATTCGTAGCTGAATCATTAAAAAGCATTAATATTCTCATAAAGGAAAACAATAAACAAAACAAGAATCATCAACTTACTTTTTTATGTCTCTTAGAACAATCTTTAGTGATATTGCCCGTCTTTGTCTAAATATTTAAGCAATGAGCAGATGTTACTGCATTACAACGGGTGGCCTCGAATATAAACTAGTGATTCGCTGAGATGCTTACTATTGTAACGTTTTTGTGTCTTGCTTTGATTGTGAATACATCCTCTTCAGATTCGTCGTCCATACTAAACGCGAAAGAACACAATGTTAAATTGCAAAGTCATCAAACTGCGATAATGAAAGTAACCTACGATGGAGTGTACTCTGAAGCCTCTGACTCTGAGGATTCTGACTCTTCCGTTAATTCATCACCCTATATATAGATGTTGATTGTAATTTCATTAGCATCTTTGCTGTTTCAGGTTGCCTGTACACGTGGACGAACCGCTTCATTTTCCAGGTATTTACGAGCTCGCTTCAAAATTCGGGGTTTGTTGTTGTTTGTCGCCTCTTCGGCCCATTCCGTCTCGACAACCGCTGCAACACTCTTTTGGTATTTTGTTGCACTTTGGTGCTTTTACATGGAAGATAAAGACTGTCAATAAGTTTGCTCCTTAAATCCGTAAAAAGGATCTGACAAATACACCAAACTTACAAAGTGGACATTGCGATGTGCTTTCTGTTTGCTAGTAGCATCCTCCCCGCGAATTTGACGAAGAAACCGTTTTTTCCATGCCTCGCAACAGAAAAAAATAGTATGAAACTTCAAGATTTCATGATAAATTTTACAAATGACAATGGAATGCAAGTGGAGTGGTTTAGGTCCGAGTGACCCGCAGTCCCCAGACTTCCAAACATGAGTGACCCGCAGTCCTCATGTTGCCACCGATCAGGATCATACAAGTGACCCGCAGTCCCTGTATGTCGCAAGGAAGTGACCCGCAGTCCCTCCTCGCCTTCAGATACTTACACCCCTCATATGAGAAGTGCTATCCCTCAAGCCAAAATCTGATGATAAACAAACCTTAATATTAATTACTCCCGTTCCAGTTGTCTTTAAAGTTCCTTAAAACGCGCATTGTATCCGCTTCAAAACATTTTAAATCGAGAACAGCCTCCAAATCCTTGCCTAGCGCGTCGTAGATCTGCTGATTTCTGCTGTTTGGTCTTTCCTTCTGGTAATAGACAAAAACATCATCAAGGGTTATGGATTTGGCATCGTGTTGAGTGAGAAAACGGAAAAGGGGTATAGATGTGTTTGTCACTGAAAGAGGATCGGATTCATCTGAACTGGACACGGTATCTCCCAGCCTCCCGGAGTTCGGCAAATTTGGGCGCGATTGGACCATCCTAAAACCGTCGGCGTTAACGAAGCCTCAGATCTGTAGATGTGTCGGTATAGTGATGAAGTAACGCGCAACCTCACCCTCAAAAATTTTTTCCCCTGTCGATTGCTTCTGCTTTTGGAAATGAAACAATTGTTTGCAAAAATCAAGTAACATAATCGATAATTGACACTTAATTTGTTGTAGGAAAAAAAAGTACCGGCGATAAGCGTGATCAATAGTAGTAACTCGCAGAAGGTTTCAATAGTGAAAGTGAGCATTTTAAATGAATAAATTGTTCGATATCGATATTGGAAAGATTTTATAATTTGATTTTTCTAAGACGAAATATAAATGCGGGTCGTCTTATTTTTATAATAAGCTCATCGGATTGCGTGTTCATTAACGATAATGGTTTGCTGGTAAGAATAGAAGTCAGATGAATATGTTCCTCATCGTTGACAAAGAACCCATGGACAAATTTTTCCTGATTTGATGTCTTTATTAATAATCCAATAATAATAAAAAAAGCAGCTATTTGCTTATGCTTTTAATTTTTTTTCTTTCTTGATTCGTCATAACTTTGAGTTGAATTTCTTTATTAGTTATAATTTTTCTTGATCTAGATATTGCTGGAGAGTGTGGGTATCATTGATTTTGAAAACATAATAATAAGGCGCAATTTTTTCTCCTTGAGCTTTTTTTAGAATACTTCTAATAGTACTGTAATTCTTGGGTTCCATAGTGGATTTATATTTAATGTAAATTAGTTTCATATTAATATTTTTATATAGAGGTAGTCCTATATTAATCCTGTTCTGGTTTATATTCATCACATTTTGGTATGATAAAGTGAAAATTAAAATTAACAAGTCTATAATAATAAGCACCATTCTTACTTCAAAATGTCATCAATCACCCTGGTCAATTTTACAGCCACATCATAATCAGCCTCTCATTTATAGAATGTTCACTTTGTCTGGTTTTGTTGCAGCATGCCCCAAATGTAAGAATGGGGTTCAGTTCATCCTGTTTGTAAAGCATTGAATGTTGCTTCAGGACTTTACCAGAGTATTTATATTGTTATAAAAAGTGTTCAACAAGTTTTTACATTTGAATCTTAACATTATAATTAGGTTTTATTATATGAACTGGGTTATAAAAACCAGTTGCCTGTCAGTATGCCTATGTTAACAGAAGCTCACAAGGAAAGCACTTTAAATGGGAAGAAACATATCAATGACTGCTGGGAAGAAACTTTAAATACAATTAATATTAAGCATTAGTATATAGTATAAGGGTAACTAAATAATTATTATTAGTATAAGTATTGTGGAGTTCATTTGCAAAGATAACACCATTGTCAATGCCACCCTGGAAGCAACCTTCCATGTCAAGGGCAAGAAATTGTTTGTTGCAATCATTCTGCAGCATCATTGCAACAAGTTTGTCCTGGTCAAGCTTTCCAATGTTAATGTGTCCATAGTAACAGCAGGGGAAGAAGGACTCAGGAAGGAACTTGAAGAGTACTGGGGCCAATATGGAAGAATAGTTGGCCTGGCACCACACAAGTTCCCTGGGAAGCTCTGGCTAACAAAATGGTGGGATCTTGTTCTGCAGTTGAAAGCTGAGGAGAAGAAATTAACAGCTCCAACAGTATTTACCATGAGACAAAAGAAGCACCAGGTCATCACCAGTTGGAGATTTGCATTCTTTATTATCTACACCTACAATTGAACACTAAAGGTGTACTTGTGACAACAAAGAAATTAAACATAATACATATAAATAAATAAACTTATACTACTAATACTTAAATTTATATTATATTTTACATATAATAGAGAGTCATTCGTGTACCTGAAGAAACAGGAAACATGAATATCAAAAAAAAAAAAAAAACCTCCAACCAATTATACTAACCGATCACCTGAGTACAGAACACTTTGATTTTAGTAGCGAGTTTTATGTCACAATCAAAGTGATTTCGTAAAATTCCAATTAATATTAAATTCAAAACATCCATTCGCATAGTTTTTTTGGTGTCACCGAGAGTATGTAAGTCTGTTGTTTGGCACGGTCCACCGGCCACTTCCATATGCCAAACTTCTTGTCCATCTAAATACCGAGTGCCTTGGAATCTACTTTAACTATGCCTGAATTTGTTGCGGATTTTGTTATTTTTGCCGAAGATGCATGGCTTTCAATCCAATCGAAGTTAAGATTCAAAAACGTCCTCTCATAAAATTTTAACATTGATGAGATTTGATATGTAATAAATTTCCGTTCGCCAATATTTCGGTCCATTGTAGAGCTTACATCAACAAGATTATAACTAGAATTTCTTCATTTGTTAAGTGATACACAGCGAGTAGGAAATGGAAAACTTACTGCTGAATTTCCTCGTTATTACGCGGTCGCTTATTCGGAGTTGTTTTCAATGGAGTTAAATCCCGAGGAGCTTGTGGTGGGGTTCTAGGTTGTGGATATTCCGTCGATGGCGAATGAGCAGTACCATTTACTCTCCTCATATTCCTCTCTTCGTCTGAATCATCTTCGGCGTAGTTAACGCGTTTCATTGGTCGAGGCGATCTGCGGACCGAAGGTTCTCCCTGCAACATATTCGCAAAATTAAAAAAAAATTTTGTAACTTATAACTGATCGGGATTAAGACCTACCCTTTCAACGTTTACCGATTCTTCAGCCCACTTATCAACCTCCGTGTCGGTAACTTTAGCGATACCTCTTTGATATTTCGTGACGCACTTTTGCTTATAAAGAGAAAACAGTGATTGTAATGAGCTCATTTCCTATAGTAAAAAAAAAATAAGAATCCAATAAATATGTACTCACAAACTGAACTTCGCGACCGGTCTTTTGTTTGTTGATCGCTTTTTCATTTTTATAGAATCGAATGCGTTGGTTTTTCCACGTCTCAAAATGAAAAGATAGCATTAGTTATAAAGTTCACACGAATTAGCTCGAAACGATTGGGGAGGAGTGGTTTAGGTCCAAGCGACCGCAGTCCCCAGACTTCCAAACTTGAGCGACCGCAGTCCCCAAGTTTGCCACCGATCAGGGCCATATGAGCGACCGCAGTCCCCATACGCCAGAAGTAAGCGACCGCAGTCCCTACTTCCTTTCAGATACTTAAACCGTCTCCTAAACGAGAGGCTCTATCCTCCAATTCATAATACATAAATAGTTTCCTTACAGCCCAAGTGTCTCTAATGTCCTTCAGAACACGCGTCGTATCTTCTGTAAAGAAATTTGATTCGAGTACTTCCTCCAAATCTTGGCTTATCACTTGATATACTTGCGAAAGTTTGCTATTTGACATTTCCTGCTGATAGTAGTCGAATATATTATCAGCAGTTATAGAATTAATCGCAGATACGACATCGGGCTGAGTGAGGAATCGGAAAAGTGGTCTTCTGGAGAAATGTTCCACTGAAAACGAAGAATTAGTAAAGTTGCGATGGTTCAGACGAAAGACTTTTTTTATCGACGCAAGCAGAAAAAGAACAATTCGCGTAGAAGAAATTCGTGTGGCAACAAAAAATGTGCGGGCATGTGACTACCGAATACATGCTATTCGTGTTACATAAAACATCGTGCTATTTCTATGTACTGTATAGTCGAGTCTCCTTAACGTTAATGTACCACTTCGATCTTATGCGGAATTTCCTTAAACATTCACTTTAAATAGCGATAGTACGGTGACTTATAATATAAATAAATGACTAATTTAGGGAGTTAACCAAGATCATGTGTAACATATAAAGTCCAAAAAGAAGAAAATTCACAAATAACTAAAAATTTTACTATGATAACTAGCCTTTGACTTCTAAGTAAAAATATTTAGCATGAAATTTTACTCATATATATTAAATGTCAATAACTTAATTGAAAAATTTGATGATTTCATGTATTTGCCCCCGCTTTAGCCATCCTCTAATTAGGTAATAAGTAATAAACTTTACTATACTCTATTCACTTCATTGTATGAAGATATGTCTAATTTGATTTCAGCTCTTAATCACCTAAAGATTGCAGATTCCTCAATGAATATGACAGCAGAAGAATATGCTCGGTGGTTTGATAAGCACGGAGTTGCCAACAGAGGAAGAAATTTTGGAAGAATTTCTGGTGGGCTGAAGGCATATCACAGCAGAAGCAAGTGCATATAGAAGGCGAAGAGGAGGAAGAGACTATTTCTATAAAGATAGGAAGAGAAGCGCTTGAGACTGCTAAGCGATGTTTAGAACAAAGGGAATTTACGACTGAAGAGGACATAAAATATATACGTAATATAATTAGACGTTTAGACGAGTCTGTGGAAAAATCAAAACGTCAAACTTTGTTAGCAGAATATTAATATATTATCTGAAAGCATATTCATACTAATAAAGACGATAATTGAAGATTTAATGACATTACTATTCTAATGTTCTGTAATCGAATTTGACGACACGTGATCAACGATTGCGGTTTACTTCAATAGGTATCGGCTTCAACTTCACTCTTGCTTTTTAAATGTCGACATTTGTATTTGGACCACATACGATACGAGCAAGTGAAGTTTTTTTCACTACGAGACTGTCTTATGCGGTTGTGAATTTGAAGCCCATTGCACCGTAATCTATTTGAACCTGTTAATCCGCGCCTGACAATACTCGACTTTCAATCGTAAATTGTACTAATTTAAACTTTTAATCAAAACTGCTAGCGGGCGTATCCTTTTTATCTGAACTTGAAAGTTATATCGT